CATTTTGTGATAAACGTTCATGTTGCAGCCGCGAAGTACATGAATACATGAAAACCGGCTGGGCCAGATGGGCTTGCAGATTGAGCTCGGGAAAGCGTACACATGCACCGCATACATGATGTAATCCTATATGAAGATACTAAACCCTAGGTGAATATACCATTTTTTGTGAGGGAAAATGGAGTTTATTCCATAGTGATAGGATTACAGTGTGATCACAAAAGTATCAATGAAAGTAGGGCCCTGATGTAGCCAACAAGTCATGCTACCTCAGTGTGACCAAAGTTACCAAGTAAGTGAGCAACCCTATCTTGAACGTGCTATTTTGACATGAACAAACTTCCGATCCTCCATTAGTTTCTTGATTTTATCAACCAGGTAACCATATGGTGATCTAGCCAGTGTAGAATCAAATAAAGCCGATAGAACAATGACTTGGGAGGTCTGGCCTTTGAAGGGCTAAAGCCATGCCGCCCATCAATGCATGAATCTCCGATTCCAGCGCATCATTACAATGAAAAAGGTGTCGCCGGGACACAAAAACAACGCCTCCATCTGCATTTCTGAGTATTATACCAGCTCCAGCCGTGTCATCGGCCTCGGATAATGAGCCATCAGATGAAAGAACCACCAATTCGTCGGTGGTGGGGGCACAGTGGTTCGGGTAGTTTGACTATTGTCTTCTGACAAGAGGGCATCATGGCGATAGGGTCTTCCCCTTGTTAATCTCGTTTATGCTCACTTGATGTACAGAGTGTAATGAATACAAATAGCTACTTAAGAACATCTTGGAGGCTTCAGGAGATGGAATTGTTTTACTATAGACTAGGTTTGTACTAAGGCTCCACATACGCCAAATGAGCATCATGATCATGTCTCGAACTTCACTATAGATTTTCCCACCAACAAGTGTAATATCCATTCATCACCAGCGTGGAGGACTTGCTCCTTGGGAGGGATGGGACACTCCTCCCGCATGCAACCCCATAGGAGGCATATGTTATCACATAGAACTAGGGCATGGAAAGAATCCTCCTCGGCGTTGCCACAAAGAGTCTTGAAGATGTACTCGAACACCGGAAATTTGTAGGGGCACAAACCTGCCCCGCCACACGATTGCTTCACGATCCAGAAAGTGTTGTATTCCGCACGAAGGCACGCCAAGTTTATGTTTTAGTTTCTGAAAAAAAGTTGATGATTTTGTCATTGTTCATACCAAGTTTCAGCTATTGAAACTTGGTGAAGTTTTAAAGACTTGTCAAAATGCATTCAAAAGTGATCTTTCAATGCCCTCGTCACAAGAAACACGAATATGCAAACAAAACATAATTTAAACTTTTGTTCAAAAGATATATAAGATTCAAAATTGAAAGCCAAAAAAACGGGATCGGTGCCTCCGCCTTGCATGCCACAAATCCTCTTCCCCGTCCTCAAGAAATGTTGTTTTCTTTTTACTCCATTTTTGCGGTGGAAGAAATGTTTTTCTAGGAGGTTGTCTAAGTTTCAGTGAGAAATATTGTTTCTTATGACTTATGTCCTAAAAAGCATTGTGTGCTACTCTTTGGACCATATTTACCTTCTCCATGGTTCTATGTTTATTATATTTATTGTTTGGTCTGAATTTGTTCTGATATCATTTATTAAGATGACCCATATTTAATAATTATTGTTCAGATATATTTTCTGGACTCGCAACCACGCGCTCGTGATATAACGTGTAGTTGTGGCTGTGTGTGTTTTACATTTTTGGAAAGTGTAAGTTTGTACATAGTGTAACGTAATAAACGTCATCGACAATGGTTGCCCTCGCGAGAGCACAACAATACAAGATCTAATAAGCTGTACCAGCCAAGCTTTTCAACACACGCAAAGCGACGCCGTATTTGTGACGTAACTCGAAATGAACATACTCGAAGATCGAACTCACACACTCGCGTGTGAGAAAATGTTATACCTTTTTTCTTATTTTCCTTAGCACGCCAGGTGAGAGAGGATGGGACACTTTTAAAGACGACTTGTCTTGTCTTGATCTCAGCGAGTAATTTAGTTTCAGATGGTAATTCCTTTTCCCTATCTACTTCTTTTCTTGAAAATTTTGCTTCCATGCTCTCTATAATTTTTTGTAGACTTTCAATTTTAGGTCGCTCTAGGCAACTAGAAGTAGAAAGCCTAAAA